AATAATAATAATAATAATAATAATAATAATAATAATAATAATAATAATAATAATAATAATAATAATAATAATAACTACGATTCGCAAACTTCTCAAAAAACATATCAACGACATGGATTCCACAAGAATGATATTTCATCCATAGAGCGTGATTCGATAGATTCGATAAATTCTCTTGCAGGTGTTGATAATCCTATAATACAAACTGAACTTCGATCAGATTCTTCATGGAGAAAAGGTCGAGATCTTGATGATTCATTATTAAATAATAATAATATTAATAATAATGACATAAGAATTGATATTGATTATTCACCAATAATGTCAAGAGGAATTCAAATACCCCAAAATGTTTATATTCCCAAAAATCAACGAAAAAAATATATTAAAAATAATATAATAGGAGAAGGAGAAGGAGGAGGAGGAATAAGTGAATTTCGAGAATTTCAAGAGAAAAACGGGAATAATGATAATGATATAACCCAACAATCACTGAAGAAGGATGAAGAAAAATGTTTAATGAAGAAACCTAAACAAGGAGCCTTTTTATTATTCATTGGAATTATTGCTATCAGTTTGATGATAATTATTTGTAAGTCAATTATTCTCTCTTTAATGTTTTTGATATAATTCAATTCAAAATATCATTTCCTAACAAAAAGATTTATTAATATTTGAATATCCAATAGTCTTTTTAATTTCAAAAAGGATACCAAGTCTCGGTACTTTCAAATGGCTCTCGGGAGAAGAAGTTATCATTACTTACATTCCCTCACCGACATCTACTACATCTATCACATCTATTACACCTACTACATCTGTGACTGTGACGTAGAATGTTTTCTTTATTCATTTGTGGTGAACCTCCGTGTACCTTCGTGTGTCTTCGTGTGTCCTTAGGCAAAAAAGATCTCAAACGAGTTAGACCTGACTTGACATACGAAATAAACCAAAAAAAAAACTAATGAAGAAAACTATAAAGGAGGTTGAAGAGATACAGAAAGAAAGTGTTAAAGCATTTAAGGTATTTATAAAAGTATTATTTTTTTTTAATTTTTAAAAATTGATAAATAATATTATGTTCATTAATCTTTATTTATTTTTTTTTTTTAGAAAAAAGAATGTTGGACGTTCTTAAAGAAGAATCAAAGTTTATTTGATAATATTTTCTTGTGCAATAATTATTATTATTCAGCAATAATTAGCAATGATTAACAATAATTAACAATAATTTGTAAATATTTGTATAATTTTAAACATTTTAATATTGTAATATATGATGCAATTTAAAAATTTTAATATTAGATTTAGAACATTGTGAATGAAATAGAATAAATAAAAAAAAAAATCTAGGAAATTTTTCTAGAATTTATCCAGAATAAATCTATAACTCTATTTTATTTCTTTCAAGCTGGTGGAAAAAATATCGCGAATAAAATTATACCACTCAACCCATATAGTATAAAGTACGATAACACCAAATATCCAAGATTACCTTCTTCATCATGTTTATCTTCTCTTTCATTCAAACATATTGAACATCTTTCATTTTTTAAACACCTGACATCTCCACCTTCAAATTTATTACAATTATTACTATTTTCCTTTTCACCTTTTTCATCTCCCGTTTCGTAATTACCTTCTTCTTTTGAATAAATTCCAACATTCATTTTCTTCTTTTTTAAACATGATGTACAAATAGAACTTTCATCGTCAACTTTTTTATAATTCTTTGTCAAAGAATTAATAAAGAGATGACTTGCAAACCAATATACAGTTGGTTGTGAAGAAAAAAATCTAGTTATTACTTGAATATGCATTGAAGTTATTACATATAAAAGTAATATTGCCCAAAGGTATATAAATGGTAATATTGAAGTTGAAAAATAAGGAGAACAATCTTTTTTTTTCTCGGATGATGACGTTTTATTTGCTAAATAATATTTTAAATTAAAAATTAATTAAATTTAAAATAATATTAAATTAAATTATAAATTAAATTATAAATAAATTTAAATTAAATTATAAATTAATTTAAATTAAATTATAAATTAATAAATAATCAACTAATAATGATTTATTAAAAAATATTTTTTTAATATTACACACCTAGATTTCCCGAAATTAAATTTAAGCTTAATATTCTTTTCAAATCATATCTTGCATATTTATAAATTCCGAATAATGATAAAATTATCATAGGAGAAGCCAACACAAAATTTGGAATTTGTTTAATTTCATAATATCTCAAAAATCCACAATTCCTAAAAAATCAAAATCAAAAATAATAATAAAATTCTAACTGTTATTTTTTTATCATTATTTATCAACACGAACTTTTATTAAAAAAAAAAAAAAAAAGAATTTGTTTTTATTACCAATAATGTTCCTGAACAAAAGAATATAATAAAGGTATTTTCGAATAACACCAAGGTCTTATGGGCGTGAATAAAATGCAAAAACTATCATATCCGTATATTTGGAATGCAATAAAACTTGCAAGAGTGATTATTGACAACAATAATGTTTTAACAAATCTTGTTATTAATAACTAATAAATTAAATATTATTATTATTAGAAATTCAATAGAGAGAATAATTTTAAAGAGGAAAGAAAGAGAGGAAGAGAGGAAGAGAGGAAGAGCGGAAGAAAGGAAGAAAGAAGAAGGAAAAGAAGGAAGAAGGAAGAAGGAAGAAGATAAAAGAGAGAGAATCATGTATTTACCTTCAAATCCATTCTCATAATTTCTTTGATCAACAATTCATAAACGAAAAATCCTATAAAAACTATACCATTTGATCGAGTAAACGAAGCTATTGACCACACAATTGCAGATTTCCAATATTTTTTTTCTACATAAAATATCATTCCCAGGAATCCCAAATATGCAAATAAACTTTCGGTATACATGGCAGACATAAACACGCAAGATGGCGTTATTATGTAAAATATCGCGGTAATAAATGCAAATTTTTCATCATGAAATAATTTAATACTGAGTCTAAAGCGTGAAAAAAAAATGGGAAGGTCGTGTGAAGGGATGAAAGATGTAAAGAGAAGTGAGAAAAGAGAAAAGTAAAGAGAGGAGTGACGAAAATCTTACTTGTATAAATTCATTGATGCCAATACAAATGAAATATTAGAAATTAAGACTCCAGATAATAACATTATTTGTTTATAAGTTAATATACTTTTCAAAGGCAAGAAAACTGATGAAAAAAAAAAAAAAAAAAAAAAAAAAAAAAAGGATTCTTAACTAATATTTTTATTCGAATTGAATTACCTTAGAATTGGATAACTTTCTCACCTGAATTTCCTAATCCTCTAATTAATAAAGGATAAAATGGAAAAAAAGCATTTGCCTGTTCAAAAACATAACCTTCTTCTGCTATATGCAAAAAGTAGAAAGAATCCCATCTCAAAAACACTCGAAATATTCGATTAAAAATGGTTTGTATTAATGTTGGAAGTTCAGATTCTGTTAATAATATAGTATCTACACTTGAATCATAATCATCAATAATTAAAGTTGATATAAAAGCTATGAACCAAGTGAGAAGACGAGAAGTTATGGCTAATAATGTTATTGTTAATAACGCATTTCTGGAAATTTTTGAAAAATGAGTTTCTTGAGGTTTCATTGAAATTTGTTATAAAATAAATAATAAATTATATTTATTTAACCGAGAAAAAATGTTAAACAAAAAAAAAAAATAATGGATTATTAAACGAGAATGTTGTTATGTTGTTTTGAACGAAAAAAAAAACAAACACAGAAATATATAAATGGAATGAAATGATCTGAATGATTGATAAATACGGAATAAATCAGATCAGATTCGAGTAAACTTGGTAATACCCAAATTAATATTTTCGAAATAAATGTTGTTTTGCAAAAGAAATTTTAATTATTTTGATTAGGGTCAGAGGTTTTATCCAATGAATTTTCCTAAGTACTGTCAGGTGATGTAGTTATCCGCAATAAAAAAATGAAATTCTGTTTTTTACCTATCATATATATTTCCATTGTATTTTGTAATATAAATTTTTTTTATCGGAGTTACTTAATTCCCACGTATTAAAAGATTACAAATATTATTAAGTTTTTTGCGACCATTTCATAAATGAAGCACAACATAATAATAATACACAGTATTTATGTTTATGATCATAAGGATAATCCTTATCAACATCTACATACATACATGCACAATATCTGGACATATGGCGTAATAAAAAAAACATTATTCCTTTTGGTCACATGCATATATAAACCAATAAAAAAAATTCGTATTTAGAGAAAATATTTATTTCAAAGTTAGGATAAATTATTTCCTAAAATCTAACAAGTCAATTGATCGTTTGAACTTGTTAAGTTATTGAACTTGTAATATACATATAAATATATAAACAAATATTTTTTATCTAAATGACGAAAAAATAAAAAATAAAACAAATAAAGTGTCAGCGTAATAGTTCCGAGCTTCATTACTAGAATTATTATTATTACTATTATTCTTCTTGTTATTATTATGATGTGTCTCACCTATAAACCACAATTTCCGATATTCCATAAATGATAATTTTTATATTTTATTTATTAATTATTATAATTATTTATTTCATCTATTACATATTCTGGAATACAACGATGTGATTGCATTATTTGTCCACTTTAATTCTAAAGGTTTGAGTTTTTATTTATTAAATCAATTTCTTCACCCCATCTACTATCCTCATCATTTCCCCACTCTTCATTATTATCTCATTCATCATATTGTATTTTTTTTTTTTTTACAAAATTTCCATCATTATTACGTTCTTGTTCTTTTACCCCAATTTTTTTTTTAGACAATTTTAATCAAATACATAAATAATGATTTTTGCATAAGTTACACAACATTTTTACTTTTTAGTATTCTAAATTCAGTAATTTTATTTAAAATTGAAACTTAGTAGATTATTTTTATTATTTTTATTGGTAATTTTTATGAATTCCTTTTTTAGGCAAGAGTTATAATCTTGAATTTTATTGTGGTTAACTTGCTATTACTAAAACTATACGTTTAAACAAACTGCCTCTTATTGAATGTCACTTTTTTAACTGTTGTTGATGATGACGTGCATTATGATCATTGTTATCTTTGGAATCTTTGGGTTCGTTTTTAAACAAACTCTTCTAAACATACATGTACAAAACAAAGACAAATCAAGATATATTTATTTTTAACTGCATATTGCAAAAAAAAACAAAAATCGCAAGAAACTTTTACTAACTTACAACTACCAACTCCGAACCAAGTGGATCCGGTGATGAAATTGGTGGCTCTCACGACATATTTAAGAAACGAAGTAGCCTATTTAACGAAATTTTCGCATATTAAACAGTATTTAACAATAATTGACCGTGAAACAAAAACGATGATGTAATGTGTTAAAAACAATCAATAGAAAAAATTGATCACTCAGATATTTAGATCACGTTAATTAATTGTAGAAATATAAATACAGAGTGAGGAAAGAACACATAACTTATCATCAAATGGATGTTATATTAAAAAAAGTAATAATATTTTTCAAGATAATAATTACACTTTAAGAATAATGAAAAATTTAGTAACAAGATTTTATAGATTCAGAGACACATGACATTATTTATTCATTTCTTTAATAAGTGCATTCATATTTAATTGAATTGAACGTTACAAGGCAACTAATTATTTGGTAGCATTTCATTTAAACTATGTAAAGTTGAATAAAATAAACATTATTTGAATGAAAGAATTTGTGAGAAATGAATTGATAACAAAAGCAAAAGCTAATGTAATGATCGAAAATTTCATTTTTCATAGATAGGTCGAGGACAATTACAAGAAGTTCTTTTTTTCAAAGAATATATGGGACAATTTCTATAATTGCAAACAAATCTTCTTTTGAATTTATTATCAGAACGTTTTTGAGCTCCTGATGTTTCAAATGTTTCAATTGGGTAGACTGGATCGGGTCTGTTAATAATAATGATAATAATTATAATAATAATAAAATTATTAATAATAATAAAATTAAAATTGATAATAATAATATTTACCGTGGTCGTGTTCTAAATTTAGAAACAGTAGCCGTCGTCGCACGACCGACTGCATCATTGACATTGAACAAAGAAACGATCAAAAAGAGAAGAAAAATGAATTTAAATGCTTCCATTTCTTTAAAGATTATTAAAATAATTTTTAATTCTAAGAGTTGAATGACAGTGAAAATGACGGTGAAAATGACAGTGAAAATGACAGTGAAAATGACAGTGAGAGAATGATGATGATGAAATTAAAGACGAATATATTATGGATATGATATTATCAAGGGAATTCTGATTATTTTCAGGACAAGGACAACGGGACAAGAGAAAAGATTGTATTTATATTATTTAAAAAAAATGTTGATATTCCTTAAAGTCATATTATAACATTTGTTAAAGAATTAATTTTTTTTAGGAATCAAAGTAATTTCTTGTGAAACAAATATCAAAAATATTAATTATTAAACTTTGACTAATTAAGTAAACAATAGTCATAATGAGAATGTGAAAATTTTTTCGATTATGTTTTCTGAATCTACAAATTAAGTTAACAATGATTATAATGTAAACTGTTAATATTACTATAATGTTGAGCATTATTTAATGCATTGTAATAATATCACTTTTATTCGAATAATAGCATTTTTGATATTTAATCGGTCAAATTTGTACCAATTAACATCAGAAATTAAAAGATACAAATAATCAATCAATTAATTAAGATTTCAATTTCGTAAATTATTTATAAAATTTTTATTAATGTTTATTTATGAATGTTTATATAAATGTTTGTTTTTAGTAATGAAAATGAAAAAAAAAATCAAGCAGTCTGGGTAAATTTATTTTCGACTATAAAGAAAGAAGCAAGGAAACACAACCCTCCCATAGGTATAACTGCAGTATAAGCAGTTTGAAGAGCATCTACATATGCTTGAATTACAGGTTGTCGTATATCTGGTGAAAGTTCGCGTACTAAGAATGCAGATTTCTTCAATACATCAATTGTTATTCCAGGTGGAAAAGATGTTTCTAAATCAGCTAAATTATTATTTAATTTATTTAATAAAATAGTTCCTAAAACTGCTACCCCAAATATAGCACCAACTTTTTTTTTTTTTTTTTAAAAAAAAAAAAAAAAAAGAAAACAAGACAAAATTAAATTATTATTAAAAGTTATAAGTAAATAATTCTTAAAAATAAATAAAATAAAATAATAAATAATAATAATAACAATAATGATAATAAACTCACTTGTTCTAAAGAAATTTATAAGACTTGAAGTAACAGCAACATCGTCATAATGTACAAGTGCTTGAGCACATAATATAGTTGTTTGCATAATTAATCCCATACCAATACCAAGTATTAAAGTATATCCAGTTTGTTCACCACGATTAGAATTTTCATCTAAGAGAGTACATAATCCGGCTCCAATTGCAATAAAAGCTCCGCCTGCTATACAAAACATTCGATATGATATTTTTGTAGTAACCGATAATGTAAATCCAACGATCAGTACTGCAAAAACTGTTCCCATAACATATGCAATTAATTCGAGACCGGATTTAGTGGCTTTTAATTAAAATAATAATTATTATTATTAACATATTATTAACGTATCATTATTATTAGACACATATATTATTAATATTAAATTTTAATTTTCTTTACCTGATTCTCCTTTTATAACTTGAAAATAAACTGGAATAAAAAATATCATAGCTATAATAATATAAAATAAAATAAATAGATTTTTGATTTTTTAAAATTATAATAATAATAATAATAATAATAATTATGAATTAAATTTTTTATAAATTATAGCTTACAATAAAATGCGGCTCCTTGAAAAAATGTAACTATAAAACAACTATTGACAGTTAGGTTGCGAAAAAGGTGAGCTTAAAAATAAAGAATTAATTATTTAATTGATTTTAGTTTACTTCTGATTAGAGATAAATTAAAGAAATTAGAAAATATAGAAGAATATAAAATGAATACTCACGTGGTGCTATTGGTTCAACAACAACGAATATTTCAACTAATGCAAATACCACAAATAACACACCACCAACCATTAAAAGACTTAAAATAGTTGCACTGTTCCAAGAATATTCATTTCCTCCCCAATTCAAAGCTAAAAAATAATAATAATAATAATAATAATTGTAATTATTAAGTAATTAGTTAATTCTTCCTTAATTCTTCTTTAAAATTTATTTATTAAAAATTAAATTAAATTAATTACCCAATAATAACGAAACGGTAGCTAACACAATTATGACAGTTCCGGTATAATCAATTCGTTTTAATTTATCAAGGAAAGTTCCTTTAGTTTGAGGTAATTTTAGAAAGATGAGAATAAGCGGAATCGAGATGGCACCAAGAGGGAGATTAATCCAAAAACACCATCTACAAATATTTCATCAAATATTTTCATCATCAAATGTTTCGTCATCAAATGTTTCAAACTTTAACTTTACTAACCTCCATGTTACATGATCTGTAAAAGCACCTCCTACCAATGGACCAACGAGCGAAGCCAATCCAAAACACTAAAAATAGGTATTTATATTTAATATTTATTTATATATTTATTATTTGGTCATACAATGTATTTATTTGTTTCATCATATACTTACAGCTCCAATCATGCCTTGATATTTCCCACGTTCCTAAAAAATTAAAAAATAAAATAAATATTTACTTTTATCATAAACTTTATCTTGAACTCTATCACAAAATTATATACCTCAAGTGGTGCGATATCTGATATTATGATAATAACCAGACTGAAATAAAGAAAAAATTTAAAATAATTATGAATTAGAATTAATTATTTAAATAAATATTTTAATAACTTTTTTTTTTAAAAAAAAATATATATACACATACCTAAGAATTCCTCCTCCACCAAAACCACTTACAGCGCGGAATATAATTAAAGATGTCTAATGAATATTACAAATTAAATCATGTGATATAAACGTGACACAAAGTATGAAATAATGAACTAACCATATTTGGGGAAATAGCGCACAACAAAGATCCAAGTTGAAATAACCCAAGTGCTAACAAGAAAGTTGATTTCCGACCAAAAATATCGGAAAGTTTTCCAAAAGTAGGTTGAAATGATGTCTAATTAAATAAGTCCTTAATTTTAGAATTTCATTAAATTGAAAAAAAATTATTTAATTTAATTCACTCACTTCTGTTAACATATATGATGTGGCGACCCAAGCGATTCGATCTAAAGAGTTAAAATCATTTGCAATTCTTGGTCTAATAAAATTTTTTAAAGAATTATTTTTTTAATTATTATTCATTAATCTAGTTAATCAAATTTTAATTCATAAATAAACTTACAGCGCAGTAGCTACTATCGTTTGATCTAATGCAGATAGAAACATTCCAGTCGAGAGACTAAAAAAATCAATCAAGCAAAGATCAATATTTTTTTTTTTTTTTTTTTTTTTCGGAGAATAAAATAAAAATCAGATGCATTAAATATTTCACATACGCAAACATTATCAAATATGTCTCATATCGTTTTAATGCAACTTTAACTTCGGTTTTTGTATTATTTTCAATAATTTGTGCTTCGGTATCATCAGAAATGCTTTTAGTACTTGTGGAATCTGCTTTCTCCATGTTAATTGCATATTCAGGATATTCTGGCAATTTTTCTTCAGAGGAACTCATTTTTTATGATTATGATAACTGATCTTTATAATCTTTATTGATGTGAAAGAAGAAAAAAAAAATAATGAATTCGTTTTCAGTGAAGAAAAAAAACGATTTAACATTCTCAATTCCTTTATATAATTAATTTCCTCTCATTATTATAATTAAATCTTTATATGGGTTCATCTGGGTATACGGGTTAAGAATAACCCAAAAATGATATACTGTAAAAGTTAACTTCGAATGTCATTCGGAATCAAAGCTTAATTCTTTATCTTGCATATCTTTAATACATAATTCGGCATAATATAACCGAAACCCCGACATTTTATTATTAGTTGAAGTTTTTTTTGTCCAACCGATAAACAATAACAAATAACAATGGCAAATAAGTTTGGTCATCTTTACCCAATTCAAAATGACACTTTATATTTTTCCCTTGAATTTTAATTCGTCCGATTGTAATCGCTTTATTATAAGCAAAAACATACGGCCTCTATTTACAGTATAATAATTGTTATTCACAAAATGGTTAACAGTTATTCACAAAATGATCAACCGTTATTCACAAAATGATTATTAATTAAAAAAAAATATTTTCTTGTCGTACATTCAAATTCCAATTCTAGGCATGATTTTAAATTTTCGATTGTTAGAGGAGGATAAAGATTACCGATATAAGCTTTATATAGTGGTACAGAATCTAAAAGGTAAGTAATTAATTTAAGCCACAAATAAATAATTTAAATAATTATCAAAAATTTTATTATAGTAAATGCCGTACCAGAATAAGGTGGCAAAGTTTCGGGACTTTATTGTGAAGAGAAACACCATTCAATTTGACTTGATCTACTATAATCTTCTTATTGAACTATCTTCTATAGAACAAGGACAATAAGATGATATTAAATCCTTTTGATTTTAAACATTTTGTAAAGTTGCTTGTTGATGAACAATTTTTTGTTGTAAATGATCGATATGTCCTTGATTCAAATGAAATTTCACTTTAATATCTTTACAATATGAGTGAAAATGGATAAAAGTAAATATAATGTAATATTATAGAGAATGGAAAATATTTTGAGGATCTTTCTTTTATATCCAAATCTTTTTTTTGATGATTCTAAAAAAAGTTAAAATATTCATAGTCACGAATGTATTATCATGGTTGTATTGTTTCACGAGAATTTCGTATTTTACTTTTTTAGCTTTTTATATAAATAATTTAATCCTTTACATATGTTTTCCTTTAAATCTCTGCATCTCGGTAAATGATCTGGTAATAAAAAGACTAGAACTCTTGATTTAATTATATTTAAACATGATATTCAATTCAATTTCCGATTGATATTTTTATATTTATACTCTGTGTGCATATGAGTGCTATGAATATACTGTATATATTATCACAATTGAGGCGTGATTGGCCAAATTGAGAACCTTAAAAATACTCGATATTTTATTACGTAAACTACCTTTCGGCCTATGTGCAAAAATGGTCAAGACAAACTTTATTATAATTGGTCAAGTCAATAAAAGCGATTCACCCGATAAAAAAATATTTAAAATAAAATTAAAACCCAAAAGCTAATCTTATCCTGTGCCCGCAGGGGTTAAGGTTGGGGTTTTTAGGGGTAGTGTATTTACCATCTATCGAATATCGATTTTTATTATTTTTTTTGGAATTTTTTACGTGCAGAAATCGTATTTGTCACCGACATTTGTCACATGAAACTTTCCACGTAAATAATTCTAACTGTATAACTGCAAAGATGTCCAACTATTTTATATCTCTCTTTTAATGTTAAAAATTATTATTTTGTTTTATTATAATTTTACTAGTAAAGAAGAACTCTACTCAGTTCTTAAGATATATGTTTTATTTATTAACTTGACTAATAATCACTTTGCTTCTAAGTTAAGTTTTTGAATTGGCTGATATGTTAAAACAAAACTAGGCTCTGCTAAAAAATTGCTTGCGTAACAATGTTCGGTCAACCCGATAAAAAATGAAGATTTCGAAGAATGTTAAGTCTGAGCGTGGCAGTAAGGGACTCGTTTTATGGGTTCCTTTAAATGTCCATTATTCCAATTTTTTTTATATTAATTTTAACTTATTACTTTGATAACTCATTTACAAAAATAAAGATCTTGCTATGTTTTATTGATAAAATATTCCCTTATTCACACAATAGAACCTCGGTTATACTTTTCTATAAAAGACTGCAACATTATTGATAGACTTTAGTCAATATACATACGAACATTGAAATTATTAATAAAACTCATAGCATCATAATCTTGATTATCAGAACATTCTATTACACACTCTATGATTCTATGATGTGATCGAGGTCAAATAGAGTATCTGGCATGAATTCTTTCTTGAAGGTATCTCGAAGTTTTCATCTGATATAACTTATGTTTTCCAGAAATGGCAATTTTATATCCTTTGGATTATACGAATTTGATATACGATTCATAAATCAGGACAAGGAAAGTAGGGAATTTATAGCAGTATCCAAGAGATGTTATTACTTTCATTATATTGGTCTATATGTTCAATTCTGCCCATATGGGAATCTAATACAATTATCTAGATCCTTGATTGTAATTGGATCAACAGAGATCTATAAAGATAAACTTTTATTAATTAGTTTCCGACTTCTAAATGAAAGTGTTCAGCACAATATTTTACATATATTTACATATATCATTTTATAAGTAAGTTAAGGCACCTCATCCATTTAAATAAATGAATAAATAACTGACTAACCAATTGATTTACTTCCAACCAGTGACAACTTATTTTGCTTCTTCCTTCTAATGCTCAATATAGTTTTTTATTCTATTTTTTTTTATTTTTTTTTTAGTTTAGTACTATATTATCTTTCAAACATACTTTCTTAAAATCTTCATATTCCTTTTGAACAGGAATAAAACCTTTGATAATTTCATTCCATGAAGATATGATTTTATTGGATCCAATAAATGCAAATCTATGAGAAGATAGGTTTTGTACTTTTCTTGTTGACATTGTCAAGGGCAGAAATTCACTCAGTTCCCTTTGATCCTTACATTGGTTCTTTTAAGGAGTTTAACATGCTACATTCTAAGACATATGGCAGTTTGGTATGCTTCTTTAATGATAGAATGCACCAGTCCATTTTTAGTTAGAACAAACTATTTGTTGTTGCAGTGTAACCATTTGAACCTCACTATTCCTTCAATGAGAAGTGTTAACTCACTATACAGGTTTATTTTTAATTTTAATTTGTTCTGAGGTTTATTCCCAATATATTATGTTATTATTTAATATGTAGAGCATACATTTTTTACTTGACTTATAACAAATATTTCTTTTTATTATTTATTATTTATTATTATATTTTTTAATCTGCAAGACTTACATCTTTGACTCATCTTATAACAAATGGTTTAAATTGTATAGGGCTTATATCTTTTGTCTATTTTAATAATCTTTTATATTTGTATAGTTTTCTTTCACTCAGTTTATACTTCAATTTCTTTTAAATATGTTTCATTATTCTTTTTATTTACATTTCAATATTATTATTTTTTTTATTAAACAAAATTATATACAATATAATAGTTAAATTTTTATTCTACATAATTATTATTTATTTACTTAACTAAAAGTTAAGGAGCAAAAAGTTAAAAATTTAAGTAAGTAAAATTCTTCTGGTATTTATAATATTTTTACAGTAAGTGATCTACAACTATAGTTTTGTTTTCCTATTTGGTAGTTTATAAAAGGTAAAATTATTCTATTTATATATAAGAATTATATTATTATAGCATAGGGATAGTTTGTTTTTATTGGCCGGTATGATCAACAATCTCGTGATTGACATGATGATCAAAATTTCGATT